AGGAAGATGCATTCAGCGTTTTACATATAATACATTTTTTTCACTCAAATCGGTCACTATGAGCATTTAAGGGTTAAAACTTTTCAATGAAATTCGTATTATTTCTTTCAATGCCACATTTTTTTATGATTTGAATAAAAAAGGCTAGTGACGGTTTAAATTAAGATAAGCTTATCAAATGACAGCCCTGTAAAATATGAACTCAGGTTATATTGTCTAAATTTATACACGAAATGTAACTGTTTGTGATTGGTACATGATTTATTGATGATGATTATTAAGCAACCTACCCTTTTACCAAAATCAGAAAACCAGAACTTTTGAACTCTCATAGCGTCTGACCCAGTGTTAATTAAACCGACATGACTCTGAAGGATTCATCTTTGGGTAGTCGATAGGTGAGTCGATACGTACACTTATTAGAAGATGGGCGGTATAAGAAATATCAGCATAGTATCTTTTATAACAGGCGGTTTTACAAATGTATTGTAGTAAGTCGTTTTCTTTAAATAACCCTCCCCCCTCCCCAAACATTTTGACTTTCATATGCTATAGATAAGAAATTTTAAAGATTTGCTTTATTGCGTTAGCATATACATACATCGCTCTATCTTATTAGACCCGTCGTAGATACCCTCAATAAGACTTTCGGAAGTGTTCCTAAATTGGAGAGATTATGTGTAGATGAACAAATGTATTCCACAAAAATTGGGAGCTACATGAATCAATACTTGCCAAATAAACCAAAGAAGTGGGGGTTTAAGTTTTATGTTTTATGCGATACTTCTGGATATGCTTACAAATTTGAATTATACAGCGGATTAGCGGAGAAACCTATTCAAGCAGAACCTGATCTTCAGCCATCCGCAAATATAGTAGTAAGGTTAGTTCGCGAAGTCCCTCGTTTTAAAAATTATATACTTTTTTTTGACAATTACTACACAACGATCCCCTTGCTAGTATATTTACGAACCCAGGGTATCCTTTCCGTCGGAACAATTACGCGTAACAGAATTAAAAATTGTAAGCTCCCTGAAGAAAAGACCATGCTAAAATTTGAACGTGGTACCAGTCAAGAATATGTCTCGAATATATGTGGCATCGATGTGACATCTCTTAGCTGGAAAGATAACCGAGTTGTAAATTTGGTGTCTACCTATGTTGGAATGAAACCGTTGGTGCATTCAATACAAACCGCATCAGAGACTTTGACAGTGAAGAGGTTTGACAAAAAAGATAAAACCATCAAAATGATTCCCTGCCCGCAGATTATTAAAGATTATAATAGTCATATGGGTGGAGTTGACCTTATGGATAGCATGATGGGTCGCCATAAGATCACAATGAAAAGTCGAAAGTGGACTACTCGGGTGTTCTACCACCTTTTGGATATGACATGCGTTAATGCTTTACTTTACTTTATAAAAGAATTAATAGAGATCGGCCAGGTTTAAAAAATATTAGATTAATCGATTTTAAGTTGGAAATAGCTGATGCACTATTTTCATATAAATTCAAAGAAACTCCTAATCGTGGACGGCCAACTCTGGAAACGCAGATCAAGGAAAAGCGATGCAAGCCAAATTCAAGTGTAGCGCTTCAGAGGGATGTCAGATTAGACGGAACTGATCACTGGACTACGATGGATAAAAAAGGAAGATGCAAGTTTCCAAATTGCTCAGGACAGACACGGATGTATTGCAGCAAATGTAAGGTAAATCTTTGTTTAACAGCTGAAAAAAACTGCTTTTATAACTACCATCATTTTTAAATATGTAAATATTCTATATTATTTGTTTTTAATTATACTTAATTTTAAAAAAATTATAGAATTTCAATAAAAATATGTTTATTTATTCACACTAAACAATGGTTTTTCTCATTGAAATAAGTGAGTTTTATACTTTCATTGCAAAGGTAAGTTTCGCGTGAGTGCTCATTGTATCTTTAAAGATACAACCATTTTTTTCTCAATAACTTGGTAAAAATCGGAAAATTAAAAAAATTAAAAATGCAGTTATTTTTTCTTCAGCGTTTTACATATAATACATTTTTTTCACTTAAATCGGTCACTATGAGCATTTAAGGGTTAAAANACTGATCACTGGACGACGATGGATAAAAAAGGAAGATGCATTCAGCGTTTTACATATAATACATTTTTTTCACTCAAATCGGTCACTATGAGCATTTAAGGGTTAAAACTTTTCAATGAAATTCGTATTATTTCTTTCAATGCCACATTTTTTTATGATTTGAATAAAAAAGGCTAGTGACGGTTTAAATTAAGATAAGCTTATCAAATGACAGCCCTGTAAAATATGAACTCAGGTTATATTGTCTAAATTTATACACGAAATGTAACTGTTTGTGATTGGTACATGATTTATTGATGATGATTATTAAGCAACCTACCCTTTTACCAAAATCAGAAAACCAGAACTTTTGAACTCTCATAGCGTCTGACCCAGTGTTAATTAAACCGACATGACTCTGAAGGATTCATCTTTGGGTAGTCGATAGGTGAGTCGATACGTACACTTATTAGAAGATGGGCGGTATAAGAAATATCAGCATAGTATCTTTTATAACAGCGGTTTTACAAATGTATTGTAGTAAGTCGTTTTCTTTAAATAACCCTCCCCCCTCCCCAAACATTTTGACTTTCATATGCTATAGATAAGAAATTTTAAAGATTTGCTTTATTGCGTTAGCATATACATACATCCATCCGGAACATATTTCCAGAACTGTCTTACATCTACGAATTAAGGCCGGTTTATACGATTGATACATTTGTACATTTAATTTGGATCTATTGGCACAAGCAATATACATTTGGGCGACAGTTCTTCTAGCAGTCAACCGATTGGTACAACACATTAATTTGGAAAATATAATAAAAAAATTGTCGTGATTGGAACAGTCTAATAGGGAATTTACATGAGGCGATTTTTCAGGCGATTTTTAGTTGAATGCAACAATCGCCTGGTGTAAACGGCCTTTCAACTAATCGCTTTCAATGAAGTTGGTCGGCTGCCTACTTTCGTTCAACTCTTTGTTCAACTAATCGCCTGTGAAAGTTGAATCATGTAAATTCCCTATAACATTTTTCTAACCACGCGATTTGGTAGTCAAATCGGTCTAATGCCCAATCGTATGATCCCGCCTTTACACTTGAAAGTTTTTTTTAGTTATTTAAAACAATTATTACTAAAGCGAACTGGCGTGGACATATTTTAAATGGTAGTCTAAATTTGCTTGGGCACTGAACAATTGTCCACATATATTACAAGCCTTTTTGACATCCGTTGCTACCACATCGAATTCCGAAAAACTGTTTATAGTTAAAGACTTGAGTATAACGTCGTGCTCTTTCTCCATATGTTTATTGAGATGATCTTTTACAGTAAATTCCTGGTCACATATAATGCAATTGAACTTGGTTTCTTGAGATTGTATTTTCTCTGAGGCGCACAACGGTCCTTCATCATGTTGTAATGAATTTTGAAGCTGCGATTGTGTTATTTCACTGGATTCTACAGCTTCGGGATGTGTTCGTTTATGAATTTTAAGGGTATATTTCTCGGTAAAAGTTTTAGGGCAGTACTCGCAATTATACCGAGGACGATCTTCTCGATGTGTGATCATATGGTGACGATATGTCCGCTTAGTCTTAAATACCTGTGAGCAAATCTCACACTGAAGTGGTTGCTCTTCAGCTTCATGTTGTAATTTGTGATTGTACAATACAGTTGTTTGAGAAAAACAAAGACCACACTTATCACATTGATACTTTTTTGAATTGTAATGTACTTCCATGTGGCGAATCGTACTAATTTTTGTAGTAAACTCTTTTTCACAGAAACGGCATTGGTTCTCATTTCGACCTTCGTGTGTGTTCATATGTAGCAAGACGTAGTCTTCATTTCGATGACTATAACTACACAATTCACAACTAAATTTTTTATGTGCGTTTGTTATATGTTTTTTCAAAGCTGACTTAGTATGAAATTTCATAGCACACAACTCGCATTTAAGTTTGACTAAACGACTTCTCCTATTATGTTCGGAAATTCTAGTCTGATCTTCCGAGGACTCACCCAAAGCATCCTCTATAGTTCGTGTAATCTCCGTATCAGAGATTTGCGCATCATCGAAAAAGTGGTCATCAGTAAGTTCGTCCAAAGCACTCAAATCGGCTTGAATTTCATTTTCGAAGTCAGAATCAAAATTTATCACTGCCTTTTCAATTAAATTTAAAAGAGTGCGTTGTTTTTTAAGAGCTTTTATAAGGTATGTGTCGTATTCAACCACATCAGAGTAACACGTCGAGCAAATGGATTCACCCTCAGCGATGTGCAGCTCTGAATTTGCATGGCGTGCCAAATAGGATAAAACTTCTCTGAAGCATTTCTTTGAAGCAGGGCATATACTACTTTTGATGAGTTTTTGGCTTCGCGTTGATGTGATTTTTCGCCTACACAAAAAACATCTAATTCTATTAAAGTCTGTGAGCGCCGCAGACATCGTAGCTTTTTTGAGAAATTGATAAGAAAAAGTTATGGAATTAATTTCCGTAAATAGAAATGCAAGCCTTGTATCGATTTTTAACATCGATAAAACTTACAAAAGTACACAGTATACAGTAATCCAGATAGGCAAAACCATGGTGTAATAATAACAAGGTGTTGTCAGTAACTTAACCTCACTTTTTCGGCAGGTCTATTCCGGTCACGCATTTTAAAGTGTAGAAAAAGTACTAATTATTTACTACTTTTAATCCGTTCGTGCATACTATTTCAAATTAAATGTAGAAAAATTTTTAATTACAGGCTTATAAGCCTGAATATATGTTTGTATCGTAAGCTCCACACAGGTTGCACATATATTGTAACTTATAAAAAAGTACAGGCCGTAAAATAAGGCAATTTCCTATGAAGCTGTAAATGATTTTTTAAATAGATTAGTAATAATAATACTAGATTGGCGCTTACACATATGTTAGTGTTTGACCGAGCTTCTCCTCCGACTTGTGGCGTGCGCCTTGATGTTGTCACACAAAGCGGAGGGACCTACAGTTTTACGCCGACTCCGAACGGCGATTGCATTTTTATGAGAAGCTGTTTTTCATGGCAGTAATACACTCGGAGGTTTGCCATTGCCTGCCGAGGGACGACCGCTGTTAAGAAAAAACCTTTTTTCTATATTTTT